TCTGTGCAGAGAAGAAAGGGTTAAAAATGGGATGATTTGCCTTTAGTCCCAGCACTCAGGAGGCAGAGGCAGGTGGACTGTTTTGAGTTCAAGGCCTGCCTGGACCACAAAGTGAGTTCAGGACAGTCAGGGCTACACAGAGAAACCCTATCTCAAAAAACAACTGAAAAAAGAGCCGGTTTCTCTGACTAGCCACAAAAGCCAGTAAGTTCATGAAGATAATTTGGGAAGCCAGCCCTGTGGCACATGCCTATTGTAATGCCAGCATTTGGACAGTGGAGACGGGAGCAATCAGGTGTTCAGGTCATTCTCTGCTACAAAGAGAGTTCAAAGCAAGCCTAGACTATCTAAAGACCCTTTCTCTCTCTCTCTCTGGGAGTTTTTTCTTTATTTTTTATTCTTACAAGATAGGGTTTCACTGTGTAGCCCTGGCTGTCCTGGACTCCATTTGTAGATCAGGTTTATCTCAAACTCAGTGATCCATCTGCCTCTGCTTCTCTGAGTGCTGGTATTACAGGCCTGTGCCACCACGCCCGGCTCTATGATCCTTTTTCAAAAGGCAAAGCAGAGTTGAAGAGTTGGTTTAGTGGTTAAGAGCTCTTGCAGAGGACCAGGTTCAATTCCCAGCACCTAAATGGTAGCTCACAACCATCTGTACCTCCAGCTCCAGGAGATCAGATGCCCTCTTCTGACTTTTGCAGGCTCCAGGCATGCATGCGGTGTGCATACACACATGCCATGCCGGCCAATACTCACACATATAAACAGACCTAAAAACAAGAAAAGAACAAACATACCACCAAGCAAAGCAAAGCAACAGGATGGAATAGTGAGCTAAGGTCTTTGGGAGCTTAGGGTAGAATTTGAGAATGTTAGAGGAAGCATTTTTAGAACTCCAAGAACACAGCCAGCAGCAACTATCAGGAAGCAGGAATACCAAGAAGGGAAAAGACTGCTCATACCCTCAGAAACATCTGTCAGCTGTGGGGTGGTAGCCCGAGAAACAGAGAAGCCGCCACTCTCTAGAATAGAGGCCTCCTCATCGGACAGCTCTGAGTCTGTAATAGCCAAGGCCAGTGCTGTTTTCTTCACATCCACCTACAGGAGAACCAGGATGAATCCAACAGGAAGGGATAAGAACACTTTACCCCTTGAGAAGTGGTAGCTCGACAGCAAATGCATTCCCGTCCCATTCTGCCTTTTTGGTTTTCTTGGAGATAGGATCTTATTGGTCCAGGTTGGTCTCAAACCCATAAAATGAAAACCAGGTTCCTTTTCTATGTTTTGTTGTTGTTGTTTTGTTTTTTTAGACAAAATTTCTCTGTGTATCCCTGGCTGTCCTGGAACTCCATCTGTAGACCAGGCTGGCCTTGAACTCAGAGATTCACCTCCTTCTGCCTCCTGAGTGGGATTAAAGGTATACACCACCACCACACCAGACTGGTGTTGCACTCTTGGTCCTTCTTCCACCTCTCAAATGGGATTACAGGTGTGCATCATAATACCCAGCTTCCCTTTAGCCTTCTATTTGACATCCCATCTTCCCTGGACCTCACCACTGGAGAGAAGCCAGCCAACTCTGCCTCACTTTCACTCTCTGTTTCAGCCAGTGGCTCGTCACCTCCTGGGGGTGCATTCTTCCCTTGCCGCTCTAGAGAAGGGCAAAAAGGCAATGATGAGCAGAGACAATGGTGGGGACTGTTATAGCCAAGGATCTAGAAATGATTTAAGTTCCAGGACACATCGTGAGCCCTAAACTGCAGGCTCCCCCAACCGCCATGCCTTTCACTGTCCTGGGTTAAGAGAATCCCTTACTCCTCTTGTCATGTTTGTGGTGAAGGGCATCAGCTTCTGCTTTCATGCTGTAGTCCAGCTGCATGAGCAAGGGCTCCAGGCGAGTATACATCCTCTGGATCAGTTCATGATAAACCACCAGCGGCCACAGGAGGATACTCAGCACTAGGGGTTGGAAAGTCCACTCAGATCTCAGGAGGCTACTTTCCCTAGAGCCTTCATTCAAATGTCCCCTGAACAGGTAGGTCCAAATAGAGATGAGATCCTTTCCCAAGACAGTGATATCCACTTCCCCCATCTACTATTCTCCTCCCCAGATGGGTAACTGACAAAGAAAATGCAGTCTTTCCTTTGGGTCAATCCAGGGAAAGAAGAACAGAAAAGGCTTTGGAAACAACAGGGATGGCCTCCACTCACAGACAATGTAGGAAATCATAATTCCTGGAACATAGTGTCCCAACACAGCTAGCACAGCACAGCCAGAACAGACCCGAGCACAGAACTGCAGAGAAGAGCACAGGATCTATGAAAACACTGGGCTTAGACTATGTGCCCAGTCACCTGGGGAAGACACTACTATTCATCTGGCGTAAGGACGGGAACCAGGACAGAAAATCTATAATAGACACTGCTCACACCACTCCTCTCCCATCCCCTCTGGCTCCAGGAACTGTTACCGGAGGAGGTTTACCTGAGCTGGGTTCTGCCTCTTGTACTGCAACAGCTCTTGCAGGTGAATCTGGAAGGTGAGCCAGCTCTCAGCCAGGTATCTGCACAACTCGGGCACACTCAGCAGGTGCGGCTGGGCGCCTGACCCCGCACCCTCACTGGGAAGACATGACATGACCCTTGGAAGCCTCAGAAACCAGCTTTCTAAGGCACTCAAATCACTTTGAGATTGCTGATGAGATCTTCAAGCTGGAGATAAGGAAAACCCCACCTCCCCCAAAGGAGGTCATCCTAGTCCTGGGAAGCCAATTTCCAGGGTACTCAACCCTGTACCCCCACAAGAGAAGGCACACAGCATCTACATACAAAGAAGCCTAGGGCCAAGCACTTTTGCCTGCTGTAAGTCTTTCACTATAGTAGGGCCCATGTCCACAGACGCCACAGAGCTGCTCCCCTTTGAGCTGAACAGGCAAGGAGACCACATTTAGGCCTCTTCTTGAAAAGGAGCTTCACTCACCTCTCAGAGTGTGGTTCCTCAGGGGGTGGTGCTGTGGAGAAAAAAGGAGGGTAAATTAAGAGTGCAAGGGGCACTGAGATTCTAAATCAGAAAGAGCCGCTTCTCTTTGGCATTCTTGGTCTCAAAAATTTTCAGTGATCCCCTTGTCTCTCACAGGCACAAAGTGAGAACACTACAGGAGGCCCAGAGCATTTCCTTCCTACACCAACAACATGCTGTTTCTGTTCCTGTCTTTCTTTTTTGCAGTATTGGGAATTGAGCCTGGGGTAAATGCTAGGCAAGTGCTGTACCACTGAGCTGCATCCCCAATCTTCTTCTTGAGACAGGCAGGCCTATGCACCCTCCCCACCTGAGCCTCTCAAGTGGCTTGAACAGGAGGCCAATGCTAGCAGTCTTTAGACTTTACCTTTATCAAACATAGGAGCCCATACTTCATTCTTTTGTGTCTCAAGTAATTCATACACAGCCAGATACACAGTAGCTCCAAGATACATATTAAGTGAGTATAGAAGAGCAGGAAAAAAAGTGACAATCCTATCATGTTCTATGTAGACACCCATTTAACCATCATGTCCTGTGAAGTCTGCAACTCTCTTGTTTGTTTTGTTTTTTGACAAAGTTTCTCTATGTAGCCTAGGTTGTTTTGGAACTCATTCTGTAGGAACAGGCCGGCCTAGAACAGAAATTCACCTGCTCTGCCTCCCCAGTGCTGGAATTAAAGGCCTGTGTCACCACATCCAGTACTTTTTGCAATTCTTTACAAGGCCATACACCTGGCAAAGGGAAGAGTAGGGAATGGAACTCAGGTGCTTTGGCTACAAACTCCACAATCTTTCATTTTAATTATTTAGTTTTTGAGACATTGTCTCACAATGTAGCTCTTGCTGGCCTGAAATTCCCTAATCGAGCAAACTAGCCTAGAACTCCCAGAGATCCCCTTGCTTTTGTCTCAGCAGTGCTGGGATTAAAGGCTTGCGCCACCACACCAAGCTCTAAACGCTGCAGTTTATACTACTAAACTCACAAGGCCGTTAATTTTGGGCAAGTGACCATTCTCATTTCAGGCAATTTCTTTTTTTAAAAAAAAGAAAAAACAAAAACAAAAAAGATGGAGGGGCGTGGAGCTTGCCTAGAAGGCAAATGGCACTGTTGTGCTGCACAAGCCAGGTGCACAACAGTGCATGTGGGGTGAAGAAACTCACCTGAAACGTCGGGGAGAAAGCGAGGATGCCAGAGGTCCAGCAAAAAATAGGTCAAAAGTGAGATGCTGAGCAGGAAAATGGGCCGGAGGGACGATGAAGACAACAACCTTAGGGAGACAGGTATCTCAGCCGGGAGTAAGTGGCTCCCAAACCCGTCGAAAATGACAGAAAGACCCACTGACTGGGAGATGGTCCTCTAAGCCGTCACCAGGAGACCAAGAAACGGGGCAACCTGGTGATGATGGATCACCGCCCCAGCTGACAGCCCTGGAAGGGAGGGTGCACCCGGTCCTCCCGCCCCCGCTCTCCCGCGCAGCCCGGCCCCGCCCCCTCCTCCGCGGCCGTTACCAGAAGAGGCCGTTGAGTGTGGCCGCCGTGACCAGGCTGTGCAGCGGCTTCTCCCATACCAGCAGTCTCTGTGCGGCCGCCAGCACCGCCTCCCAGCCGCGGAGCCGCAGCCACAGGGACGTGGCCAGGCGTCCCACTGCCTCAGCCGTGGCCGCCTCCTCCTCCGCGTCGCCGGTGGCCTCACCCATGCCGAGGCCCAGCCCCAGGCCCAGGCCCAGCCCCGAGGCGCCACCCGCACCGGTGTTACCGCCACCGCTGCTCGCCATCACCGTGCCGCAGCCGCTGCCCGAGCCCGCGAGGAGCCAGGGCAGCGCGGCCGCCGCCGGGGGCGCGTCAGGCGGAAGGGGGCGCACGCCCAGGAGAGCAGAACCTGCGGGCAAGGTCACGTGATGCGGCGCCGTCACGTGACGTGGCCAAACAGCCCGGATGGGAGGCCCGCGCGTGCGCACTGGCGGCTGCCGCGATCCCGAATCCACGCAAGGTGGTTGCTCCCGGCTTGCTGGAGCGGTGATCCGGGGCAGGCGTCGAGGCTGCGCAGCCTGCGGTCTTCCCCCCCGTACTGTCTAGGCGGCTGGGGGATTCGCTGGCGACCCGTATCTCCTGTGAGGCCACGCCTGGAGGGAGCGGGCCTCCAGGCTCCCAGGATCTTGGCTAGGACGTGCTTCGGATCGGGAAGGGCGGCGGCATCCCCATTACTCAACCCCCGTCGTCTCCTGTCTCCTCCCCTCTCCCCTCAGCGGATAAACAAACACCGGCGCGTGACTTTTAATAACTTAAAAGCAGCTTCACCAACATAGAAAAGTTGCTTCTTCCTTCCCCGAGCGTCGGCGCTCCTCCCCAAATCTTCCGGCGGCAAACTGGGTGGAAGGCGTGTTTAAAAATAAAACGTTTACGTGCTGTTTACTTTTGGGAGCCTAGTTAACATCGTGCTTTGGGGCTTCACATCTTCTGAGCTCATTTAATTACAAAATACAGTATGTATTCCAGTTTTAGAATTTCAAGTTCTTAAGGGGCGTGAAGGTTCAACAGATTCCCTCCCACCTTTTCCACAGTTCTCCCACAGGTAAGTTTCTTGTTCATCTTTTCGTGTAAGCATTGCTAATTAAGTGCATCTTCCCTACTAAAATCCGGGAAACAACTCGCCGCGTTGCCTCTCGTGTTGATCTGGTTAATAGCTGCACCACAAAGTCTGGCCACCTTGTTCACCCTTGGTTCGTCACGGTTCCCCGGGAACCGTATCCAAAATCAGAGCCGGGTGCTTGGGAAGGTTCCCAAGACCCAGAGCTCTCAGTTGTAGGTTGGGCCGGGCGGGTGGCACTTCCTGCCCGTAGCGCTGAGTCGTCGGCGACACGCCCGCAGCTTGTAAACTCCAGGCAGACGCGGCACGGGCACAGATCACTTCTGGCCCTCGTACCTCTTACACCACCGCCTGGTGAGCGTCGCGAGAGTCGGGCGCCGGGAGGCCCAGTCACACGCGGAACAGGAAGAGGCGTCCTACGGCTGCCGGCTAGAGGGGAGGAGGCCCCTCGGGAGAGGCGGGCTGTTGGGCCAACGGGTGAGGACCTCTCCGCCAGTCACTTACAATTCCATCCCTTCCCCTCCACCTTCGCAGGGTGGCGGCTGACGGCGCGATGGACCTGGCTGGGCTCCTCCTGGACGAAGAAGGCACCTTCTCCCTCACTGGCTTCCAGGACTTCACGGTGAGAGCACAGTCTGCCAGTCTTACGCCTCCCGAGGTTGGGAGTACGGACTCCGGGGCTTTCCCCTCCGGATCCCAGCGGAATGGGAGATCTCTTACTTACCATGCCGGGGATTGGGCGGCTGTTCTGAGCAATGCCTACTAGAGGTTCGGGCCGCTTGGGCCTGGAGGCAAAGCCTCGGGTTATAGGAGGGGAACTACTAGTGATTAGACTGGGGTCCCTCTCGTTTCTAGTTTTCTGGTCTTCTCCTGGAAGCCCTCAGTGACGGCAGGGTAATCACAGGATAATGTCTTTCTCCCCCTGTGGACAGCTCTAGTCTGACATTAGCCCTGGGAACTCGGGGCTAGATGGATTTAGCCCCAGTGGCAGTGGCAGCAAAGCCAGCTTGCTACCCTCTACAGCTTTCCAGTCCCTACCTACCCAGGACTTCCACCAAACCCTTCCCTGCCCTTCACCCTCCATTACTCCTGGCCCTGTTTCAGTTCCTTCCAGGACACCAGAAACTGAGCGCTCGAATCAGAAGGCGACTCTATTATGGCTGGGATTTGGAGACAGACTGCAGCCTGGAGGAGCTCTCCAGCCCTGTGGCAGGTTAGGCTGTGAGTGTGTGTGTGAGAGAGAGAGAGACTGGGCAAGTGAGAGCCTTGAGGACTGGATTGTTAGTAGTCAACAAATGCCTGGAGGTTAGCCCTCTGTACTGCACTGTGTCTCATCATAGCTTACTCGGTTGGTACTTGGTTTGACAATGCAGGCCATGTTTCACATTCTGTTAGCCCACATGAGTAAAAACAGCTCATAAATCGCAGTCACTTATTTTTAGGGCCTGTGTATGCTAGGCAAGCATTCTATCCCAGAGCTATATTTCAAGTCCTGCTGCCCTTTTTAATGTATAGGTCAGAAATTTAGTTTATAAGTATATTTGTTGTATGTTGCTCAAGCAGACAAGGCACACTTACTTCTCAGATGAACATCAGTGAAAGATAAACATGAGTGACTCAACAGAGGAAGAAGCTTTCCTGCTGGAAATAGCTGAGACCCAAGCTTAGAATGGGTTTTTATCTACTTAGAATTGGGGTGGAAGTATGGTGAGGAAATCAAGGGCTGAAGAGTTGAGGCAGTGTCTTATTACATAGATCTGACCAGCCCGGAACTCACTGTATAGATCAAGCTGGCCTCCACCTTGTAGTAATTCTCCTGCCTCCATTTCTTGAGTTTGGGATTTCAGGCATGTTTCATCTTGCCTTTCCCAGCTTAGGAGAATTTGGTTTCTGGTTTTCTGTGACTGTCATGTGCCCAGGACCTACAGACCGAGCTCTTCCCTGACAGTGGTGCGGACTGGTGTGTATGTTGGGGGTTGTTTATTCAGCTCCCCTGTCTCCTTGCAGACATTACTGTGGAACTCCTTCAGAAGGCAGCACCCAGTCCTATTCGCCGACTCCAGAAGAAATACGTAGCCCATGTGTCCCGGTGAGCCTGGGATTGCGGGGGTAGATGAGAGTGGGTGTGTAGGATGTTACTATTCTAAAGACAAAGTGTAAAGACAAAGATGAGCATCTTGAGAATTTCAAGGGCTGAAGGCCCCTTGGGTTTAATTACTGATCCTTTCCACTTCCCAGAGAGGCTTGTATTTCCCCTTGTGCTATGATGTTAGCGCTGGTGTACATTGAGCGGCTTCGGCACCGAAACCCAGATTACCTGCAACATGTGTCATCTTCTGATTTGTTTCTGATCTCCATGGTGAGGTTCCCCCTCCCTTTACTTCCCTGGGGAGCCAGGCACCAGGTGTGGGCTCTGCTGATGCCACCTCTGGCTTCTCTGCAGATGGTGGCTAGTAAATACCTTTATGATGAAGGGGAGGAAGAGGAGGTCTTCAATGATGAATGGGGAGCTGCTGGGGGAGTTGCCGTGCCCACTCTCAATGCCTTGGAGAGGGGCTTTCTGAGTGCCATGGTGAGTGATGCTTCTCCCATCTATCATTTATTTTTTTATTTATTTTTGGGTTTTTTTGTTTTGTTTATTCTGTTTTGTTTTGAGACAGGGTTTCTCTGTGTAGCCCTGGCTGTCCTGAAACTCTCTCTGTAGACCAGGCTTGCCTTGAACTCAGAGATCCACCTGCCTGTGCCTCCTGAGGACTGGGATTAGAGGTGTGTGCAGCCTCTGCCACCACCACTACCACCACCCAGCTTCTCATCTATCTTTATGTTCCTTCCTTCTTTGCTCACTCTCAGCTTTCTGTTGTTGTCTTTAGCTCTTTTTATGCATTCATGCATGGCTTTATGCAGGCTTAGACCACATAACCTTGAGTGTTGTTCCTGAGGACCTGTCTACCTTGCTTTTTGAAATAGGGTCTCTTGTTTGACCTGGCAGTCACGGATTAGGTTAGGCTGCCTGGAAAACCAGCAAGTCTCAGGGGTCTGTCTTGTCTTTGGCTTGTTTGTTTTGAGATTATAAGTACATGCTATATATCATGTCCACTTCTTTTATATGGGTTCTTGAGATCGAATGCTTGCATACATGGACTGAACTATTGACAACCTCAGTTGTTTTTTTTTTTTTTTTCCTTCTTTCTGCCAGGTGTGGTTGTACGTCTTTAATCCCTGTCAGATTTCTGTGAGTTTGAAGCGAACATGGTCCATTTCAGGACAATCAGGGCTACATAGTCAGACCCTGTCTTTTAATGAATAAACTTTAAATCAGGCTGTCCTAGAACTCACTGTGTAGACCAGGCTGCTCTTAACCTTGTGATGAGCCTCCTTTTGCTTCTTCTGCTTCTACCTGCTTTTGCTGATTGTAGGTGTACTTACTGCACTGGGCTTTGTATGTCTGACTTGTTTGTGTCTTTTTGGTAGGGTCTTCCTTTCCTGTCCTTTCAGGACTAGTCTAGAGGTTCCTGGAGCAGTGAGTCTAAAAGTAGAGGATATTTCCCTCTTGAAGGACACACTCTGAGGCAGAACCTGCAGTGTTGGCTTCCGAATATTTGCTTTTAAACTTTTCCTGCCTTAGATTTTGAGCTCTGTATGGGCAATGATCATTCTTAGATTTCTTTTCTCCCCTTGTACTTAATAGAGGAGATAATTCAAGGTCAGGTAGGTGGTGATTACATGACACAGTATATGCAAGCTCTTCAGATAGCGGCTGGCACATCTACTCAGCTGATGGTGGAACTGCTCTGATCAGGTCTCTGGCTTGCAGCTGAGCTTAGTGTGTCTTCTTCCCTGTTCTTACTTATTTAGGGTTTGTTGAGATAGTCTTATATTATAGCCCAGGCTGGCCTAGAACTCACTATGTAGCCCAGGCTGGCCTGTAACTTAGAGCAACACAATTGTTCAGCTTTCCAAGAACTGCGATCATAGTAATGAACTATCATGCCTGTCTTCTTCTTGCACATAGGATTGGCGTCTCTACACTGATCCTAGGGAGATCTTTGAGGTGCTGAGTTGGCTGGAGAGCTGGTGAGTCCCAGGAATTGGTAAGAGGGGTTTGAGGCATTTGGAGACGTAGGCCAGTGCCATAGGAACTACAGATGAGATCTCTGTAAATGGCAAAAAGGATTGCTCAAAGCGCTCATCTGGTAACTCTTCTGCCCTCCTTTGGTGGTGGGAGCAGCTTATGTACAGTTTAGGTCTTGGTCTCACCTTCTGGGTCAGTGGGTAGCTAGGGATCTGTGCATTTAACTAACTCCTTAGTGACTTCTCATGGGTCCTGAAAGGTATAAAGGTACCCTTGGGCTAGCTGCAGGAGAGTTTCTAACCCCTGGTTTCTTCCTACCAGTGTGGCTGAGCAGCAAGGACGACGGCGGGGCTGGTATACCTACACAGACCTGTGTGTGCTGCTGGAGCAGCCGGTGTGGCAGCTCTCTCTGGGCTCCCTCTGCCAGCAGCTGGTAAAGGTGAGGAAGGGTTACAGAGGGGAAGGGCTTGAGTAGGCTTGGATAAGCACATGTGAGTGTTGAGAAGCAAATTCTGAGCCAGGCACCTGTAATCCACACTCAGGAAGGCAGAGGCAAACGGATCTCTGAGTTCAAGGCCAGCCTGGTCTACAAAGGAGTCCAGGACAGCCAAAGCTACACAGAGAAACCCTGTCTTGAAAAACAAAAAGAAAGAGAGAGAAAGAAAGAAAATCCTGAAAGGCTCAGAAGAAGTTTGAGAGTAGCTGGGAGAGTGGGGGAGGCAGAGGGAGCTACAGAGAGCTTCAGCTTGAGAGACTGGGTGTGGGAAAAGTTAAAGGCAGTCAACAGCCTACTGTCTTATCTTCTCTCCTGCAGCTGTCCTGCCTGTTAGCTGTGGCATATGTGAGCAGTGTGGCCCTAGCTGTGGCATCCGTGGCTGTAATACACCAGTCTTTGGGGCTGTCCTGCAGCCCCTCACCAGGTCCTCCTGACCTCAAAGTGGTCTCCAAGAACCTCTTTCAGCCCTGCGTACCATCCCCTGTGCCACAGTGCCTGCCTAATGTCTCTAGCTGCCTGGAAGGCAACATAGAGTTGTCTTCACCCTGGGGCAGTCTTCTGGCCCCGTTGACACGCCCTCTGACACCTCCTCCAGACCTTCCTGCTCCATCTACTTTTTTTCACAAATGTCCCTTTTGTCAGAAGTTCCAGAGGAGCTCCCCAAACTGCCGCGTCTGCCACCAGCCTAACCACACGGTGTCTACTGGTCCTTCTCGACCCTTTTACCATACTTATGGTGTGGCCCCACCCTGGCTGTGGAGTCCAGTGGTCCCTCCATTCCTTCAACCCCAGCAGTGTTCTCTTTTTAGTGTCATGGAGCTGGCCCGACTCAAGTCTTTCATTTTCCCTGGTTAGATAGGGTTGGAGGAGTGCATTAAGAGGGCATGGGAGGTCCCTGAGAACCTGGAAGAAGAAAACTTGGATTTAGATGTTTGCTACCTCTCTGGGTTCTTAGCTAGTCCCCTGTCCTCCTGGGTAGGAACCTAAGGGGTTATGGGTCAGGACAAGGTCATTCACTCCCTTAGACCTCAGAAGCTGGCTAGTAGGCCAGGGCACCAATGGTGCCTGGGACAGGTTCAGCTCAGTGACCAGGGGTGTGTCACAGATGACAGAGAAGCCCCTATCTGTCTGCCTTCCCAAGCCTGGGCAGGTAGATTTTTTGCTTTGAAATTTCCAAAGATGGAAAGATAAAGGTGGGAGGTGAGGGAAGTGGATGAGGAGACGAAAGAAGCACTGATGTGGTTCTATGTGATGTCTCTGAGTCAGGAAAACCAGGGACAGATGGTACCAAGATGGAAGTTGCTGAGGGAGGGAAGGCTTCCTGAGGCTGGAAGCTTGCCACACTCATCCTGTGGATGTAGTTGTCACAGCCAAGGATTGCTGCTGGGGCCTTCAACCTTGTCCTTTTTGTCTTCCAACTTTAGCGTCCTGCTCTACGGCTTCCTACTCTACTGGTTTCTTTCTAGGTGTTCTCTTCACAGGCCTTTCTGGGCACCACTGCTTTGTATCTGGGTTTTTCATGCTTTTGTAGAACTGAAGTTTCAATAAACGGTTTCTGTTGCATGGCCTCGCCTTTTCCTTCTGCATTGTCCCTGAGGATCTTCCTTCCCTCATCTACCTCCCAAGTGAGATGCATGATCCTGTCAATGCATAAGCGTTTTCTCTGAGCTGTTTTAGACACTCTGTTAGGTTGGTTACTGGCTCCTGTTTTGAGCTTCCCTGCATCCCTGCTGCTGCTACCTTGGAGGCCCTGAAATTGCTGGATGTGGTGTGCCACAGGCTACAAGTGGTGACTCTTCCAGGCCTGGGAAAGCCTTGTCTGTTGTTTCATATCCTGGGTGGGTACCAGCCTTGTGGATCCTTATGGCTTTGAAACACATACTTAATTGAGCTCCTAGAAGGCAAGCCCTGCTGACCTCTTCACCAGAGTGACTTATGGAAGTAGCTGCTGTTGAAGAACCAGAGCTGGGTCGTCAATGGAAGAACAGTCTATGGTGTTCTGGTCTGCTAGTTGACGGCTGAAGATCATTTAGGGAGTGTGGTGGCTAGGAGTAAAGGTCTGTGGGCTGGTGGGTGCAGCTGCCCTCTAGGGTCATTGTGGAAATGTACTGATCTTTTGTTACAATCTTTGGGAATGCTACTGGCATTTATTCAGCTTGAGTGGAATGCCAGATATCCTAAAGGGTATAAAACCTCCTTTACTATGAACAGTTCTCAAGACATTATCTTCATGCATATGAACATCCTGTTTCATCTGAGCCTGGAGTTGCCTGCTTTTGGAAATGGCCTCGCTAAGTCCAGGCTGATCTGGAACTTACTATCCACTAACATCTGCCTTCAGAGTGATGGGATACAGACATGTGCCACCACCCCTAGCCAATCAAGTTATTTTTTTAAAGTGCAAACATGAAACATTTTTGTGCATTTTGAAAAAAACAAAAAACCTGCAGCCTTAACCCTACACAAAGGCAACTAAGGAATGCTTAGAGTGGGAGTAATAATAGTTTTCCCCAGAGAATAGCATACCAACTGGTTATCCAACAGCAAATGATCAGCTCTGAAGACATATGAATTACCATACAGATTGGCAGGTTATACTTAGGAATATGTTTCTATGTAAGAACAATGAAAAGGGACCGTGAATTTGAAAGATGATATGGAGGGGCATATGAGAGGGTGTCAAGGGAAGGGAGAAATAATGTAATATTCTCAAAAATAAAAAATTGAACTCCATTTCCTGGGAATTATACTACCATGTAAAGTAAATGTATACTTCATTCAATGTTTTAACAAAAATTTGCTCACTGCTCTAGAACACTAGGGTCACCAGTGTCAGTATTGTTTATGACAATTACTGAATTACCAGTCAAGCATTATTATCAGCTGACAGTGTAGCTGTCACATCCACGGTGATCCTGTTTATGGGTGTGGGCCGCAGACTGTTGCATTGTCTTCTGGTTTACTTGTGCCCAAGCTTTCCCATTTTAAAACACAGGTTACTCTGACTATTGCTTCACAGTGAACGCATTATACGTAATGGTCACTGTCATACAGGAGGTGGGCATTTTACGTAGGAATTTTGTTTTGAACTGATCCAAGGCATGTCTTGTTTGGTTGAGGAATGTGTATGTATGTAACCGAGATGATGCTGAATGCTGATGAAGTTTGCAAAATTTCTTGAGGCTATTTTGATAGCTCTCCCCTTACGGGGATTTCCAGAGCCTGGTCTGTAAGCAGGGGATATGGATGAAAATTCTTGAGGGAGGGAGGAAAGGAGGGGTCCAGAACTCAACTGCTAGGTTAATGGCTGATGGAATTTGCACAAGAGCTGGGCAAAGGTGAAAGAGCTGTGTCCTACTCCCAAACCCTCATCCCTTCTCTCTGCTTCATTAACACCCCCACCCCCTCCCTACTGCAGCCAGCTCACTCCACCCAAACCCTCACCTCTTACTCTCTACTCAACTAGCCCTCAGCAGCCAAGACACAATCAAGTCAGGACAGCATGAGCCGATCACCTCTCCATCCTGTTCCTCTCCTATCTGTGGGCTCCCAGGATGCCCCTGTTCCCCTGCCACCATTGCTGCCCCGTCTCCAGAATCCCTCCTCCCCCTCTTGGGCTTCTCGGTGTGGGCCTTCTACCTGGGGTCTCAGCTGTCTTCTGGCTCTACAGGTAGGGGTAGAGGTATAGGAGTTGGCATCGGCTGAAATGGGTATTTGGAGGGAGTCAGTGAACCATGAGAAACCTACATATAGGTACTTCTGAGGCTCGCCCCTCTCCATTCCTCTGTCTGCAGCATTTCCTGGTCCTGGCATCTCTGCTCTGTGCCTCCCATGTATTGCTGCTTTACAGTCTTCCCCCTGGAGGCCTCTCATATTCACCTGCTCAGCTCCTGGCTTCCAGTTTCTTCTCGTGTGGTGTGTCTACAGTCCTGCAAACTTGGATGGGCAGCAGGTGAGGGGAACTCCTTTGAGAGAGGGAGTAGTCTCCCAGAAAGAGACTCAAGGGAATCCTGTTGACTGCCACATGTTTCCAAGCCTGCTGGGGCTGCTCTTCCTACAGGCTGCCTCTAATTCAGGCTCCATCCTTAGAGTTTCTTATCCCCGCACTGGTGCTAACAAGCCAGAAGCTTCCTCTGACCACCAAGACACCTGGAAATGGTAAGTATAGAGTAGAGGCAGGCTAATGGCAGAGGTACATGCTGGCTGGTGGTTGGGCAGTGGTACTATTGCTAGGCATTGTAGCGGTCTTGGGATTATGCCAGTTATCAGCTAGGACATTAGAGCACTTAGTCTCCATTTATGTCTCTTCTCTGTACCCCAAACTTCCAGCCTCCCTCTCACTGCGCCTGTGTAATGTGACAAGCTGCCATGGCCTGGAGCTCTGGAACACTTCTCTCCGAGAGGTGGGCACTTAGAAAAATACAGCAGGAGAACCGGATGGTCCCAGCATGTAGAGTCTCTTATTTCCGTCATGTACATATTGATGCTATGAGAAAGGAGCTAGGCAGGGGCCTGTCCCTGGAATTAGTTAGAAAGCCCAGGCTGAAGTCAGCCCTATTGAAAAGAAAGTCTTCTATCTTTCCTTTCCTCTACTCCATCAGGTGTCGGGGGCAGTGGTGGTATCCGGGCTGCTGCAGGGCACAATAGGACTTCTAGGGGTGCCTGGCCGTGTATTCCCCTACTGTGGGCCACTGGTGCTGGCCCCCAGCCTGGTTGTAGCAGGGCTCTCTGCTCACAAGGAGGTGGCCCAGTTCTGTTCCGCACACTGGGGCCTGGCCTTGCTGTACGTGAGTCCTGAGAGGTGTGGGATGGTGGCCCAGTGGGTGTGCAGGCCCTGGGGAGGGCAGAGCTGCTCAGGTTCCATGGCTCCCTGGGCAGAGATAACAGTTTTTCGATTTGGAATCCAAGGAATCCTTAATTCATTCAGTCTCTCTGATACTCATAGTCACATGCTATGGTACCTTAGGGTATCTCCCTACCCTTTCCATTTCTTCCCAGGTACATCCTTTTATGATAGTCTGCTCACCTGCATTGCCATCGTTCAGGGTTCTGATGCTGCCGACTCATAAAGCTTCTTCTCTTTGCTAGGCTCATCCTGCTCATGGTGGTCTGTTCTCAGCACTTGGGTTCCTGCCAGGTACCCCTCTGCTTCTGGAGGCCAGCTTCAACCTCAACTCACATTCGTATTCCTGTCTTCCGACTTTTTTCGGTAGGTGGGGCTCTGGGCAGATGAAGTTGGAGGGGCTGACTGATGTGCACATCCAGGTGAGGCAGCACACACCTGTGATTCCAAACTGGCGAGGTGGAGGCAGGAGGATTCAGGCATTCAAGTTCTGCCACTTAGAAAGTTTCAGCCCAGCCTGGGATACACGAACAAAAACCATTAAGACACTGCTGCTCTTCCAGAGGACCTGAGGAGCCCTGTTTGATTCTTAGCACACATGTGCGTGGCTCATAACTGCTGATAACCCCTGCTTCAGAAGCCAGATCCCTCTTCTGGCCTTCCAACACTGTCCCCCCCCCTCCCGCCCCCCACATACACAAATAAAAATAAAACAGTTGAGTCAAACATGGCGGCACACATCTTTAATCCTAGCACTTGTGAAGCAGAGGCCGGCAGTATTCTGTGAGTTGGAGGCCAGCCTGGTCTACATAGATAGAGAGTTACAGGACAGTCAGGGCTACACAGAGAGACCCTGTCTCAAAAATCAAATCAAATCAAATCAAATCTAATCTAATAAATAAAATCGTTGAAACAAATGAAAGTGTGGACTGACATGGAATGTTCTCTTGGTCCCCCCACTTCTGAGTTTCTGTTGACCCCACCCAAGCTGACTCAGAAGGTTCCGGGGGAGGAGGGAGCTCTTTTCCATCTCAGTATTATCCTTCAGGTGCTTGCCCCCGTGGCCTGTGTGTGGATCATCTCTGTCTCTCTGGGTCTGAGTGTTAACCCCCTGCAGCTATCCGACCCCACTGAGGCACCATGGTTTTGGCTGCCTCACCCAGGTAGGTTTGCTCCTACACCCCCATTCTCTTGCTCAAATCAAGGTTTCTATTTGCTTGAACTCAGCATTTAATTCAGCCAGGTGAGGAGACACGCATCTGTAATCCCAGTACTTTGGAAGTAGAGGTAGGAGGATCAGAAATTCAAAGTCATCCCCAGCTATATATCAAGTTTGAGGCCAACCTGGGCTACAGGAGACCCTGCCTCAAACAAACAAACACACAAACAAACAAACAAACAAGGCTCACAAAAGATTTAAGGGAACTCATTTCTCACTTCTGAGTTAAACTTTCTTTTCTCAAAACGCAGGTGGAGAAATCACCAACTTACAGGGCCTCGTCATCCCATCTCCCCATCCCCCTTCAATGCAGTGTATTATTTGGGTCAGCGTTGGGGTTACTAACATATATAGTCAGTCTCCACCCCACTGCTTAACGTCTGACCAATTAACAAGTTTACATTGCCAGCCTCCGTGGGCATTTTTTGTTGATAAACGGTGTAGTTACAGCCTTGGGGTCGGTGTATGTGAGATTTTGTCATTCATGTTAATTTGTCATGGTGGTAGGGGTCAGTCAATGCTAGCCTCATGCGTACACAGCAAGTGCTTTACACTGAAGTCTCTAAGCCAGCCCTTCATTTAACAGCATAACGATGGCCCGCTGAGTTCTGATTAGGCCCTAAGCACATGGTAGGCATAGTGGTGATTACAGGAATAATGATATCTGCTTTATGGAGCTGATGTTCTGTTGGGGTATACAGACAGGTATCAAGGAAGTTCCTGTGTAAATGTGAGGTTGTTGTGGAAGGCGTTACCTAAGGAAATAATGGGGAATTTGATGCTATTATAGAGTTTTGAGAGAATTGTTTTTTTTTTAAAGAAGTGTTCTTTTTAAATATATTTTTATTATTTCTTGACATGTTCCTACACGTATACACTGCATCTTGATCTTATCCAACTCTTTCACTCCCTGCCAACAGATCCCCATCCCATTTTCATGTCCTTTAAAAAAGTATTTACTGAATCCAGTTCATGCTGCCTGTGTGAGCATGGGTGTGGGGCCATCTAGTAGAGCAAATGACTGTCTCCAGCAGCCATCATCTTACATAGCTCCTCAGCTTGGGTCCCACTCATGCTTCCATGCTGGACTCATGACTGGCTTGCTCTTGTACAGGTCTTGTGCAGGCAACCACAGCTGGAGTGCAAAGGTCATGTCAAGACAGCATCACATAGCACCCCTCCCCAAGCCCCAGCTCTTACTTACATTTCTTTTTCTTTTTTTTTTTAGACAGGATCTCACATAGCCTGTGTTGGCCTTGCAATGTAGTCAAGGATTGCCTTAAACTCTGAATCCTCCTGCCCGTACCTTGCAAGTGTTATAATTACAGGGATGCATTACCACACCTGAATAGCAAAAATATATTTGAAGTAGTGAGATGAAATGTAAGAGCTGAAAAGAGTAGGACTTAATTGGATAGGAGGCAGGAAACAACAGCATAGTAGGTAAATAGCAGATGCAAGGGCCATATGGTTGCTAGGAACACAGTAAATCCACGGCCTAAAGCAAGGCTAAGGTGTTTGAAGTATGGTGGGAAGTGATAGGAAATGAGACTAGGAAGAGAATTTAGAGTCAGACCAAAGATGACCTTGTAGATCATCTCCTGGAGTGCAGTGGTTTTGCCTCCATAGTATTATGTTGAAAAGCTTGAGCCTTTGGGATTCATGTGGCAGGAGCATTTAGAAGAAAGGGATGTTCCAGGCTTGAGTCTGGCCTCCAGGTGACTCCTCTTTTATCCTTAGGTGAGTGGGATTGGCCCTTGCTGACACCCAGGGCCCTGGCTGCAGGCATCTCCATGGCTTTGGCAACCTCCACCAGCTCCTTGGGTTGCTATGCCCTGTGTGGACAGCTCCTGCATTTGTCTCCGCCGCCACCACATGCCTGCAGTCGAGGGCTGAGCCTGGAGGGGCTGGGCAGTGTGCTGGCAGGGCTGCTGGGGAGCCCCCTGGGCACTGCCTCCAGCTTCCCTAACGTAGGCACAGTGAGTCTTTTCCAGGTATGTGCATCTGAGACAGGACTGGGGAATTGGAGGTACAGGGGCTGGAACTCACACTGATTGATGGCCAGCTGGGCTAGCTCCCAATCAGTCAGTTCTCTAAGAGAGGCGCTTTTAGAAGTGCTATGAATGTGGCGAAATAGGAAATTGCCATGCCAGGTGCATTGGGAGCTCTGCCAAGGCTCATTCCAGCGATGACTGAGTTAGAAAAAGCCCTGTTCTCTTGGGAACTTCATAAAAAGGAAGTATATAGCATAATTCGAGAGTAGTAAATACTATCATGAGAAGAGTGGAATGTGGGCTGAGCCAAAGAGCTACCTTTGGATTGAGTGGATAGGATGTTTAGAAGGGTCACATGGGCCAGGCAAGGAGGTGGCAGTGTTTTCTAGTGTCTCTTCTTCATGCAGACTGGTTCACGGCGAGTAGCCCACCTAGTGGGGCTGTTCTGCATGGGGCTTGGGCTCTCCCCAAGGCTGGCTCAGCTATTTACCAACATCCCCCTGCCTGTGCTCGGTGAGTGAACAAATGGGAAGACAGATATTGGAATACTATTTCCCCAAGCTTGGCCCAACCAGTTGGCTAGATTGATGTCGTTTCTTTCTAAATAGCTTCTCTGAGTGGATATGAACATTTGTGCTTGTTTTCTCAGCTGAACTGAGTCTCTGAATCAGAAACAAGCCTATTGGTTATCTTTCCTCATTACAACCTGCCTGTCCTATAAACCCTGAGCTTTGCCCTTTTCCTTCTGCCTTGTTTTCTTCTGTGTGAGACAGGTGGGGTACTGGGAGTGACCCAGGCTGTAGTTCTGTCTGCTGGATTCTCCAGCTTCCACTTGGCTGACATTGACTCTGGGCGAAATGTCTTCATTGTGGGCTTCTCCATCTTCATGGCCTTGCTTCTGCCAAGGTGGCTCCGGGAAGCCCCAATCCTGCTCAACACAGGTAGGTGGGGTGGAGAAGAAAAAAGGAGTTTCTCAATAGTGGGGTTGAGATTTTAGGCTCTCTGAATTCTTGGCCTCACAATGGGATTTTTGCATATACTTCACGATGCTAGCAACATTCCTTGGTTTTATTTCTATTGCTGTGGTAAAAGCACTCAGACCAAAAGCAACTTAGGGGAGGAAAAGTTTGATTCACTAAACAGTTTTGGGTCACATTCCATCACTGAGGGAAGCCACGGCAGGGACTCAAGGCAGAATCTTCAAGGCAGGCCTGCTTGCTAAGCTACATGCTTTACTTCCAAACAAGGAACTCATTTCACAGTGAAGTACAGCAGGAACCATGGGGAATACTGCCAGCTGGCTCGTAGGCCGGCTTACACTTGGCTGACAGGTCAAGACCACCTGTCTAGGGATGGTTCTGGCTATGGTGGGCCAGGCCCTACTAAATCAATTACCAATAAAGTCAATCTCCCACAGACAGGCTCACAAACCAATCTGATCTAGACAATTCCACAATTGGGACTGTCTTCTCAGATGACTCTAGACGGTGACAAGTTGACAGTTAAAGCTAACTAGTTACAAAACCCTTTCCCTAAAACACATTTAAAACAAACAAACGCTAACTAGGTCAGGGCACAAAAGTCCTTCTAGGCTGGGCGGTGGTGGCACATGGCTTTAATTCCAGCCCTTGAGAGGTGAAGGCATGCGGATCTTTGTGAATTTGAGGTCAGCCTGGTCTACATAGTGAGTTCCAGGCCAGTGAAGGCTACATAGTGAGATCCTGATCAAACCAAACCAAACCAAACCAAACCAAACCAAACCAAACCAAACCAAACCAAAAGCAACAACAAAAATCTGTGGTACTCAATGACAAAGAGCAGCTTCTGTCTGAGGTGATCCAACAGAACTGAATTGGTCTTTGAGGATGGGAAAACTTAAACATATTTGGCAAATGGCCATTTCTGAGTGTGAGTGACAGGGTCACATTTTGGAACCTAGACTGGCTTCAAACACTTGGCAATCATCTATCTTCCTTCAGACTCCCAAGTGGCAGGATTATAGATGTAAGCCACATGCACAGCTAATAAGGTCATTCTTGATCACGTTTCTATCATATATAAAGATAAAAGATAGGGCAGAAATAGTATATGCTGAAAGTAGCAAAGAGCCTAGTTTATCCAGAGCATTGGTTTTCAACTGGGGGATGATTTTGTCCCATGGGGAACATTTAGCAATGTCTGGAGACTTTTTTTTTTTTTTAAGTCATAGTGGGGAGAAAAAGGACTGTTACTGGCATTCACTGCTTGGAGAGGTTGTTAAACATCTTTTGATGCACTGGACAGCTCCTTATAATAGAATCATCTGGTACAAAGTGTTACTAGGACTGAAGTTGAGAGGTTCAGGCTAGAGCACAGAAGGTCAGAAGTGGGAGAGACTGGGGCTTCTCATCTGCCACTTTACAGAGAAATGGAACCTGGGACAAAGGGTATCTGGAATGGTATGTGGGTGCTTAGGAGACACATTGTTGAGAAGGGATGCTATGGGAAGGGTTTGAGTATGGGAATGGAGTGTGTAGAGGAACAAAAGGTAGGTTGGGTGGAATGACAGAGAGCCTAGTGAGATGTGTCCCTGGCCTGGGACTTAGTTTATGTCTGAAAGGGAAGACTTATCCCCTGGGACAGTATTAGTTACCTTCCTGCCTGGCCCAAACCCTTTGTAGGCTGGAGTCCTTTGGATATGTTCCTGCGTTCTTTACTGGCAGAGCCCATTTTCCTAGCTGGTCTTTTGGGCTTTCTCCTGGAAAACACCATATCTGGTAAGTTGAGACCAGATGCTAGGGAAGTGGCTCAGTACTCATTACTCCCTGGATTGGCCAATGACCTAACCAACCCCTCCTTTTACTTACTTAGTATTTAAAAAATAATTTATTTTCATTTTAAATTACGTTTGTGGGGGCCGGAGAGATTGCTCAGCAGTTAGGAACGGTGAATGCTCTTCCAGAGGACCTGGGTTCAATTCCCAGCACCCACATGGTGGTTCACAACTGTCTGTAATTCCAAGACCTGACACTCTCACACAGACATACAGACAGGCAAAACACCAATTATACATAAAATAAAAATAAATTTAAAAAAAATCATATGTAAGTATATGTGTCTGTGGATATCAGATACCAGTGGATACAGAGACCAGTAATGCCAAATTTACCCCAGACCCAGAGCTAGAGGCAGTTGTAAGCCACCTGATACGCTTGCTGGGTCTTGAACCCTCTTTAAGAGCAGTACCAGCTCTTAAAAGAGCTGAGCTACTTCTCCAGCCTGACCAATCCCTCTTTTACAGGTACACGGACTGAACGAGGCCTAGGTCAGGGGCTGCCAACTTCTTTCACTGCCCAAGAAACTCAAATGTTTCAAAAGTCCAGGGAGAAGGCTGCTCAAGAGTATGGGCTTCCTTCACCGGTCAAAAACCTGTGTTCCTGCATCCCGCAGCCTCTCCATTGCCTTTGCCCAATGCCCGAAGACTCTGGCGATGAAGGAGGGCCCTCTAGAACAGGAGAGACAGCTGATTTGTTGCCTAATTCTGGGGAGTCATACCCTACAGCAAGCAGAGATGGATTTAGGTTCCAGTAATTACCAAAACCACTATTTTTGTCTTTATTAGTTTAGCAGTAATTCTCAGCTTGCTGGAGTCTCACCTCCAAGGCTGTACTTTCTCTCAGCGAGGTGTATGTGGCCCACTAGTAGAATGGGCTGCCTTTCCTCTTCATAAGGGTTTAATGTTCAGGAGTAGGGGCCATGGTTTAGTGGGTGATAAGTAAATAAACGGGATTTTTGCCTGTGAACTGCTAATGCTGCCTGAATGACCTCTAGCATTCAAATATTTACTCAGTGCTTCCCATGAGCAAGGTCCTACATCCACAGGTATGAATATGACAGGGTCCCTGCCTTCTCTATGCATTTAAGATTTAAATTAGTAACGAAAATGTAAACCGGTCTAAAATACAGATGAAAATAATGCTCATGGGGTAGGGAGGAAGTAGTATTTCGTTTCGATTGGGGAGAGCAGGAAAGGAATTAGGAAAGCCGCAGAGCTACGAGTGGTCTCGCCAAGTTAGGTTTCGGGTCCCCGCCCATCACAGGTCTTGGCTCCGCCCCGTACCCCAAGACCCCGCCTTCCCGAGTGTGTGTTGCGGGGGGGTGGCCTCTACCCTAGGCCTTTCAGTTTGCGAAAGAGCAGGCCCGCCGTGAGGAGGTTGGGAGTTCCTGCAGCCGTTGACGGTAGGTGGGATCGGTTTGGAGTCGGCGCCGAGATCCGGGTCCGGCTGGCCGCCGAACACCGAAGAGGAACTTGCAAAGCGGCTCTATACTCGGGCGCTGTTTCCCAACAGGGACCACGCACCGCGCGTACTTTGGGGCAGGCCTACAGGAGTGGGCGGTCCTACGCATGCGCAGTCCCCCCCTTGCAGCTAACGCAAGAAGCGCGCTTCTTTACGCCAGCTGGGCCGGGGTAACTTTGTTGCCCGCTGGGGTCTTGAGCCATACCTGCGTGCAGCGGGTGCTGTAAAAACGAGAGACGGGAGACCGAATTCCTGCCGGGGTAGTGTTTGGACGCCGTAGGGCGCTCCCGGGGTGGCCTCTGGCTGCAGGGCCTAAGGTTTGCCCTTTGGTGGCACAGGGCGTGGGCCCGCCTGCTGTTCTGTAGGGCCTTGCTGCCCTCTGTAGGCTGTGGTAGCAACTACCCCTGAGAAGAACCCTCGGTGGGCAGAACTTGATGCAACTTCACGTTCTCCCTCTTAAAAGACAATTAAATCGGCGAAGTTGCTTAACGAGATCTTTGAAGACCGGTTTGCCCGGGTTGGGGTTTAGGAGGGGTGGTGGCGATGGGAGGGGAGTAAAACCCCGGAGGACTTAGATTCCTTATTCCTCTCTCCATGCTGGGCACAGTCTCAAAGGTCCCAGTCCGTTCTGTCACTAAGTTATCTTTTGTTTGTTTTTGTTTTTGAGAGCCTCTTGCTCTGTTGTCCAGGTTCGTCTCCAACTCAAGATCCTCTTGCCTCAGCCTCCTGTGTGCTAGGATTACAGGCATGCCTCATCATGCCTGACTCACTGAGTTATACTTACCTCAGCCCAGGCTAAGTGGTAGGAGCAGCCAGCCTGGGTCTGGTGCTGAATGCCTTAGACATTTTTATAGGACCAGCTGTCCCTGGCCACATTAAAACGACTTCCTCCCATTCAGACAAAACCATTGACTTGTGGGTTTTGACCTTCAGAACTTAAGGAGGGACCAGTTAGGCCAATAAACTCAATTTTGGTGACTTAGAGTGCATGCCAGGATGTGCCTATAAGGGAAATTAGAGGGTTTGGCAACTTCGTTTGTATTTCTAATCTTTCCCAATGTAAACTCTTGCCCAGTGATGACTCTTTAATCACTCCAAGACCAGTCTATCCTGTTGGAACAGCACATGATGGAAATAACCATCTCCACATACAGAATTTCAAGGCTGCTGCCAATAACTAGCGTAGATGCAGTCATGTGTCATTTGAAATGGCCATGCTTTTGAGAACTGGGCTGTTAAGCGATTTCATCACTGTGCAGTTATCATACAGTGCACATAGTTGAACAAAGATGGCAGTCATGTCACTAGGTTCCATGATCTTAGAGGGTCCCTGTCATATATGCAGTATGACCATACACATTTATATTCCTCCTGTTAATTACAATGCAAACTAATTATCGTCCTGAGACAGTGCTTTGAAAACTAGGAAGACTGGTGGCTTAGACTGAGTTGGAAATGACTGTTCATCAGGTTTAAACAGGAATTCCATTATTTTCTTTGAAGTCGTAAATTTTCGTATCCTGGGGTTTCCCTTCCTTTCATACTTATAGATGAAATAATGAAGGAAATTATATGACTTCTTGTGTCCACAGAAAAAACAAATTCTGTCAGATTTAGTTACTACATATTTAACTAGGTTGAGGACACAGCATTCCTTTTGGAGGTAGAGGAGTTCCAAGCTGCACAGAAAGCATGATGCTGGTGATGTGGGCCTCAGGGTGGGGAGGTACCTCGTTAGTGAAGGGGAATTGTCATTCCCCTGTGGCATGAAATCTGCTGCCTGTCGGTTTGTTGATAGGGACTCGGGACAGTTCTCTTGTTCTTATTAACTCTTGTGTGTCACTCTGTGCCTGTCATGCCACTGTATTCCTGTGTCAGTCATCACACGCATTACTAACGTGATGGCGGTCATGGATATCTTCCATAATGCATGTACACATGAATTTTCCATAATTGTGGAGGATTAATTTGAATGGACTTTGAACAAGAATTTCTGTTTTAGATAAGGGGGAATATGATCAAGTACATTATCTATGTATGAAATTGTGGGAGGATAAATAAAGACTTAAAAATGAATCCCTGTTTTAGGTATTTTTTTGAGACATGGTTCAAGCCAGCCTTGAACTCACTATGTAGTTTGAACTTCAGTTTACTTAATTGAAATATCTATCTACCTATCTGTTATCTATCTATCTATCTATCTATCTATCTATCTATCTATCTATCTGTCTATCGTCTTTCTTTCTTTCCTTCTTTCTGTCTATATTTATTTTGTGTGTGGGTAAGGATTTGTGTACGTGTGTGTGTTCATATATGTGTATATATAAGCACACTGCAAGTGAAGGCCAGAGGACAATTTCAGAGGTGGTCCTTAGGTGCCTCCTACTGTTTGTTTGAGATAGAGTTTCTTGTTAGCCTAGGACTTCATTTAGTAGGCCTGGGTAGCTGCCCCTCCTGAGCCTTTCTTGGCCTCTCATCTTGTCAGTGCTGGGATTACAGGTGCATGCCATCTCACAGGCCTTTTATGTAGGTTCTGGGCAATCTGAATCCGGGTTCCTGTGAGGCAAGTGTTTTACCAGCCATCTCTCCAGCTGATCCTGATCCTCCCACCACTCCCTCCCCAGTGCTTGGATTACAGGGGCAGATCAAGTCTGCCTTAGTGTTTTACTGTTTATTCCCAAACTTCCTGAGTTTTGCCTTCTCTCTTTTTCTTCTTATAAAAAAAATTATAACACCTATTTGGTACAGATGTGGAGGTCAGAGGACAGCTTACAGGAGATAATTCTTTCCTTCTATCATGAATCCTGAGGATCTAACTCAGGTCCTCAGGTTTCTACAAGTGCCTTTTTCTGTTGAGCCATCTCACTGGCCCAAACTTTGCTTTTAGAAATTTTTTGTTTTGTTTTGTTTTGTTTTTGAGACAGGGTTTCTCTGTACAGCCCTGTCTGTCCTGGAACTCACTCTGTAGATCAGGCTTGCTTGGAATCCAGGCATCTGCCTGTCTCTGCAGGACTAAAGGTATTTGCCACCATGGCTCAGTCAAATAATTTGAATGTCCTGCCCACTTAGGACTTCTGATTTTTTTTTTTTTTTATGAGAATCATTTTTTTTTTTCTTTCTAAGTGTTCTGGGAAAGATAGCATCAATACATATTTTAGGATTTAAATAAAGAATTAGTAGGAATGGCTTACGTTTCCATATTAAAGGCATCAATATGCTGAGTTTTAAACACTATAGAAGAATCAGATCTGCTCCTTCTTTCCCTTTCCTCCTTCTCTCCCTCTTTTCCTTTCTACTTTCTTCTGAAAGGTTAGTCTGTCTCATGTTCTTAGGTCTAAGAATCGCTGAAGGAAGAACCCAGGCTCATAGTAGTATGTAAAAGCAAAGAGTGTTTATTCTGTAGAGAAAACCAGCATGCTGGGGTCAGTCACTCATACAAAATGTTGCTGACCCTGAGGGGAGCTTGCAGGAAGGCTCCTTTTAAAGCCAGAAAGGGAAATTTCTGCTGTGACTATGTGACCTCGATTGGGATTGGCTAGTGTCTATTGAAGCTACGTGGCTCTGACTCTGATTGGGTCTGCCTGGCTCCCTGGAATTAAGTCTTCTCATTACCCCCTCAAGTAAGATCTTTTTCTAATGCTGGGCATAACCATGCAAGGGGCACAAAGCATGACCAGGAGAAACAGAACTAAGGGCCTATTTTCTGGTTTGTCAATAGGTAGCCATTTGTCCCTTATGCCAGAGTTTCTTTTGACTTAGCATTTCAGCCTGTTGGGTGGGACAATGGGCGATACATTCTCTTCTGTAACTTCGTGCAGTTGACTTTAGGGCCCAGGAAGGCTGGAAGTCTACTCAAAGGTAGGCAATGGAGCACTTATAAAGAACAGGTGGTGTACTCATCTGGGGTCTGTTTGAGCTATGGCAGGTGGATCCACATCTTAAGACTTTTTGATTTCCTGAGGCTTATATGAATTTTGGTTTACAAAAAGAAGTATATTAGTATTACCATTGTACTGAGATCCATATTTTAGAAAAAGCAGCTAACAGGTGTCTGTAAGACAGAAGGAGTAGACTCATGCAGTTGAGACCTAGTAAAAGCTATAGCTTTGGATTAACAAACCATAAACATTATTTTCTTGGTCCAGTGGGCTAGCTATATAGATTGGACAGAGGCGTTTTTAGCATAACGAGAAGCACAACCAAAGGGAAATTAAAATCTTGACCTTGTGACTGAACAGTAAGCAGCTAGTGCTCCAGTAGCTTATCAGAACTCCATTGATCAGTGTTAAAACTCTGAACTTCTGAGATCTTATAACAACATAAACATAACAATAGCATAGAGGGGAGAGCGAAATCTGAAACATTTTTTCATTTTTATGTGCCTTAAATTACTTTCTTATATCATTGCAACTTGCATTTACATACCTTAAAACACCTTCCTATATCCTCCAACCTTTACATCTTGCATTCACTGACCCTCAAACACCTTCTTAGACCCTCAAACACTTTCTT